TTATTAGATACTATTATTATATTATTAACATTATTATTAGATATTATTATTAATATTACCAAGCACCTTTATAATTATAAACCCAAATCGCCAAGCAACCGCCACAGGTAAGAAGGGGGCAAAGTCGGGAAAAACCCATGAAGCGACGCTCGACTCCAGGCCCTTTTCCTGATCATTGATTGGTCAGAAGCAAGATGCCAAAATTAGTATAAAACCGATGTACCCTTACAAGGTCGACAGATAGTCTAAAGCAATACACCTAGAACGACACCCGTTCGAACTAAACATTAAATAAAACGACATCAAACACATTTCTGGAATGTTACGCCATGAACCAACTCGAAACGGCCCGTTTCGTAACAGTGGCAAAATTTTCTACTAAACCAATTCTTATTTACGCACACGCGTTTTATTATTATATTCGAATTGTTAAGGCGTATCCTGTAGCCGGATTTATGGCAGCGAGTCAAGTGGTCGCCGTCGCAGGCAAATATCGCTTTTTCAAAACACCACAAGTGTTTATTGCGTTGCCTGCGACACTTAGTCCCTAGGACCAGACCCTGCCATAAGTCCTGGAGTCTCCGCACGGAAAATAGAAAAGCGGCCCACAACTTTTGCCACTGTCGATGGGCCACTTGACTTTAACAAAGCCTAGAAAAGCGGAGATTCCACAGGATTCCCACGCATCCGTCCACCGAACACTGTCTCCGGTCGTTGTCTACCCCATCCTAAGATGACGCGCTAAGGGCGAAATGGAGGGAGGTTGCGATGCACCGGAGTAAACTGATTGGTGATTTAGAAAAGGAAAAATCACCAATCAGGGTGTTTTTGGGAAAATAGGAGTCTTCGTCGAGGGAAACCGCAGAGACTCCAGCCTAAACACTTGGCCACTCGCAAGAGAAACACCTCTCACTTTGCAGAAGAATTTATATCTTGAATTAGTTGTAGAAAATAGAACATATAATAAAAACTTAGTGTTTCAATCAAGAAACTGGTCCTTCGTAGCCTTAGAACATTAGTCGGCACACACGTGCAAAAACCGGCAACGCTTGAACGATCGAAAGATCAACCGCAAGCCCTAACACATGGACTGCACTATTCAATCTTCCTCCTGGCTCATTTTCCAATGAAAAGTCACCAGTTTTGTATTTTGCAAATCAAAATTGAACAAACCATATTATATTTTCAGCAGCTTTTTCTACAGGTTTTCCAAGTTTAAACTCATATAAAATTTACGCAAATGTCTCAATTATTCATTACGTTAGATTGAATTTTGTACTATTCAGTACACGTGTACCACATAAATTCTTCTTCTTAACTACTGTTTCTAAAAATTGACGATCCGACAAAATTTTATACACGATGTCGACCCGCCAATTTTAACCTTGAAGGAACCACATTCCATTTGCACTCACGTAATACGTATTAAGTTCAGTATCCACTTGTTGCAAATACCCGTTGCCTATCACCTTTGCGCATCAATGGAGACGGGCGAGCGTTGCTCCGTTGCGTATCAAAATTTGATGCAAAGATACACAATGGACTCAACCGGGCATTTGTCCGTTTTTCGCCGCCGCATCAAAAGACGTGGGTGAGCCAGTGCCGTACAGCTGCGCAGTGATGATACGGGAAAAAGTCACACCTCTTTACAGCGTTGTGTATCACTGGATAATACGCAATGGTAATATGCAACGAGTACTTGCAGCAAATACAATAAGCTCGTACCGCGGTGCATTTATATTCTTCACGATGTGTTTTGCATTTCGAGTTACTTTCAAGAAATGAATTCATTAAGTCAAACGTGTGCTGTGCTCACAATCAGTTAGAAAAGTTAAGAGAAGCAATAGCAGTGAAACGTCCTGGACTCTTAAATCGAAACAAAGTGATTTTTCACCACGATAATGCCAGACCGCATGTTTTATCATACCAGCCATATTCTCCGACCATTGTTCCATCAAATTGCCATCTGTTTCGTGTATTCCAACATGTTTTAATGGGCAAAAAATTGGACAATATCGATTTCATAAGAAACAACATTGAAAAATATTTCAATGTTATTGGACGTCCTAATACATATGGACATGTGGCTTTGCTGATAGTGCGATTAAAGTATAACTTTATTTCCATTCTGTATAATGTAAGAGTGTATTTTGGTACTCTTATCACAGATTCAGAAATAATTTGAAAGGAATGAACAAAATGAAATGCATGTAGAAACTATATTATTGGATTCCCTTCTATTTTTAGTGTTTTATTTAAAAGAGGGTTTATGAACGTTAGTTTGCACAATATGGATTGTCAAGAAAAATAATTAACTTCGTATAAACGACTGGCTAATAACTTAGTTAACGATTGCCTGAAATATAATGCAACTTAATATGTAGCGTTGTCCAATATATTTTATGTAAGTGTAACTTCTTAAAGTAACTTATTAGTAGTGAAATTTTTCATGAGTATAACACTATCTGCACACTCACATTTTATATTTGTTAAACTTATTTTATGTAAATATATAGAATATAATTAAGGAGTCGCTATCTAGTCAGTACTTTGTTCGCACATCAATCAAAAAATAATATTATAGTATCGTAAAAATATCGCCTCTTCCTACAAGGTAATTTTAAGAGACACAAGACGAGAGTCACAAAAGAGAAAGTAGGGGTCGACAGGGATACAAGCCAGACCCATCGCGAAAACCGCCGATGACGCACAAGGCCCACCGCGAAAACCTTCGATGACGCACAAGGCCCACCGGTGCGTTGCGTAAAAACATCGAAATAGCATGTGTATGAGAGAGAGAGAAAGCGAAGGAAGAATTTTTTCATGGAGATAGAGTCAGAGTTGCGGATGAAGTCAGAGTGTTGTAAGAGTTGTCAGTGTTGGAGATAGTGTTACGGGGAGTGCTATATGAGTCGCCTAAGAGTTGTAACAATCGTTTTATACTTGTGTGGATATTGTGATGGATCATAAACAAGAAACGATTTATTAATTTACGTCTAATAATATACGTCTTAATAACCTTTCATTCTCTTATCATAAACTATTATGTGCAAAACACTTAACCATAGATATTCTACAATATATGTTTTGTTATTAACATACCTTGCTTAAACTTTTCTGCATACATATGTACGTACTTGTAACCTGCACACTTATACTCAAGCATTTCCCAAGAACGTGATTATTCTAGAACATTTCAAGAAATTATATTATATTTATTGTGATATACTACATTATACTTATACGAACTATTTCTTGTCTGTTTCAGGTAAGATAATGTTTTCAATACTTCTGAGCCTCCCCACGAACTAACACCTTGAAGAGGTATCGTTATCGTTCAATCATCGAAAAAGGTAACGTGGTTAAGTCACATTAGAGTGCTACCATCAACATTTCACACTATCGTACAGACATTCCCTGGCGAATTGCGGAACGTTTGCCAAGGCGGTCGAAGCAAAGAACAGGGTAGAGCGGAGTCATCTCCTTTTCTTGTCAGAATATTCGTTAATTACCGCGAAGTAACATGGCGTGAGTAATAATAGTTTTGCGACTACGCGGAATGGGGGAGAGGGGGCAATGGGGAACAATAGCGGAGTTAATTAGCTGGCCTGTTATTTCCAGGTGAAATAGTTAAAAACTCGCCAGCTATAAATCATTTCGAGCCGACCGCGATAAAAAGTTACCAATTCGTGCGCTTCTCTAACTAACAAATGCGAACCCATTTATTAATTGATTGGTTGTTATTTCGCCACGCATCTTGCGTTAGTAAAGCAAATGCAATGAAAGAGATTTCGTTCCTTTCGAGAGATAACGAAGCCTAATGGAAAAAACTGAAGGACTGCTCAACCAGCGAAAGCTGATAGTGAGAAAAGGCGAAGTAGAAAATGTTATGCCTTATGTGACTCTGGGAAATATTTGCGAGAGAAATTTTATGAAGCAACGAGTAAACAGAAAAATTGGTGTGTGCTATTAGCTAGAAATGAGAGACTAGTAATTTTTTGTTACCTTTTCATTCTTTCAATATTTTTGTTACCATTCAGGGGTAATGATGACGATATTTATGGCAATTGCGTGTCAATAGATATTGCAGGGATTCCATCGTATTTTACGCTTAATGTATTAATGCTTTTACTAGACTTCTTTTTTAAATATGGAAATGTAACTCTGTCAGGGTGTTAATTATGTGATACGCTGATTTCAAACCGACTAATATGTGTTTGATTTCATATAATTCTGCTTTATTTCTAATTTATCTTATTTGCAAAGTACGATGAAATAGACTTTCAATAAGTTTAGCTTTCTCTTAAGAGAGTCAATTCTCATTCATTGGTTCAGTTCAGTTCAGTTTTAACGAACAGTTAGGAAGCAGATCAACTTATCTTAAATTACTTAATTTCTTATTAATAAATAATTTATTACATACTGAATAGCTGGTATTAATGAAAACTATTATTTTATAGTAATTAAGATAATCGATAATAAAAACTCCGAAGTAATATTTAAGTTACAAGAATGACATTTCATATAAAAAGTGACATTAAATAGATTCAGGTTGGACATTCCTATAAATAATTTTTTCAATATATCCCTTGTTATTTTCTTATAAAAATATGTTAGTAAATTATGTTTTAGTAACACGAACAGCACTTTCGTCGAAAATATTTATTGTTAGTCTCCACTTTTCTTTTTCATAGCATATTTGATGCAAGATACATGCATATTTGACCGAGATACAATGAACAGCGTGCTTTTCGCGCGCGAATAATCAAGTTTTTTTACCTCGTTTCACTCGAACAATCGTCGTCGTGTACGCTACTTTTACCCGGTCAATTTACATAATATCAACGTTTCAATAGTTGAATTTTATCGCGATTACGCGTTGGGTGGGAAACGGCATATCTTTCGAATCTTCATTTTTCCAATAGCTGGGCGTCACGTTGTTCACGTGGCGTTCCTTACTGCGGATGGCTTGACATACACGCGCGCACGTACACACACACAGCGACTGCGTGACTGCGGTCTATTTAATCGTATTCAAGACTGGGCTTACCGTAAATTAGATAAAATTGCCCATAAAGTTCTGCCTATCTACCTACTTACGTTCAAGACACTCCTACGTATCGTTTCATGACGGTGAATTTAATAAAAATATTTCAGGTTATGACAACGTTCGCTCCGCTCGATTTTCGTTTCCCTCTTCTTCCAGAACGATTTCAACCTACGAGCGCTTAGTTGTTCGTTGAACGTCAATTTACTAGGCAGGATAAGCGTCGTGAAATATTTTATGAACTTGCACGTACTCGAAACGACCGGCGAATCGTTTTCTTGTTAGCATTCTCGTTGATTATTCGTCGTCCCTCTTTGAAGTTGCATTTTAAATATTGCGTTAAGTGCTATTGTTGCAGACATTAGGCTGCTAATTTTGATGGAATAACGAATCGTAGATGTAAAAGTAGACGCTTTTCGGTGAGAAATTGAATAGTTTGAAAAAGTTAGGAACTTTGGGTGTAGTTCCGGAAGACCTCGGTCGCCGATCGACGCGAAATTTGCTGGGAAGGCGGAGGAGGGTCGAGTATGGGCGTTGTATAGGGTGACGAATTTCGTCCAAGTAAGGGTCATTGAACGAAGCAGCCACTGAAAGCGTGGATTTAAATCTAACCTAACCTACATAATCAGGTATGTAATCATCTTATCGAACAATAGAGCTGGAGCACAGCGTCTAATACCGTCGAATATCTAGACGGCCGGCAATATTAGAACAGTCACATCGCTTCGCCGAAATTTTTCGTGGGACACCCTATAGATACTGAGGCCGCTACCGCTATTGTGTCATCGGTTAGTCGACACTTGACGGCAACGACCGCTATGTACATACAGCAAAGACGGTTACGTTAGTAACTAATGTTTATAATGTAATGCTGTAACTAATGTTTCATATTTGCCCTCCCCCCTCTTCTCCTTCCTCTCTTTCTCAATCTAACGATTTCGGGTATTTTTAGAAATCTAACTGTGGATGATTAGTTCTTTCGACACTATGAATTTTTCTTCATACATTCGTGCAAGAAACAACAACACTCTCAGCAATTCAAGATCCCCGAACGTTTCGAGACTGCTACAAAGACAATAAGGTCGTTCCAACCTCTCTAATAACTTGTTCGCGTTGAGCAATATTCGGTACGAGTGGAAACTTCCATTAAACGTGAGCCACTCATCACGGCATCGTTTCCCTACTGATTTATTCGTTAACATGCGAACTGCATCGTTCGGCAAGCTCCACGAACGTGTTGGTCTCATGTTAATAACGTGTTCTCACCTTTGCGAGGATCTTAACAGCTAGGTTCTCATGTCGTACAAAAGAGGACAGGAAAATTGGGTCTTGCTCCTTTGTAACAGGCTTCTCGGGGAATACCTAATGGCCGGCGAGGGCGCGTGTTTACCTTCGCAGCTGCCGCGATCTGAAGTTTGCGCGTCGACGTAGCTCATTTACCCCGAGCTTCCACGGCTTTACCGTCTTCTTATTCTGCCGAATTACGTTCCGAAAACAGCTCGTTCTATTCCCTCGCTATTTCGTGACTTGATGTCGGTAAAGTTTCCACCCTGCTCTTGACGGTGTGGAGGAAGATCTCGTTAACTTTTGGTGGACTGCTTATCTTTGAAAATTGAGAAAGAAGAAATGTTAAAAAGGTCTGACCGGATAAGCATGGTAAAAGTGCCCCTAAACTAAATGAAACGTGTGATACGTCAATTCAAAGAGCTTCTTAAGAAAACCATTTTGACAATGTTTTCAATGCTTGATTTCTGTTGTTCTATCCGATAAAAAATTATGAAAAAAATCTGAGATACTATAGTCAAAGTATTACATATCTGAGAATTTTTTCGGATTTTTGGACTGATAAACCTATTTTTTAAAAATTAAATAACATTTAAAGTGCCAATTTTTTATTGATGTTATCAAAAGACAACATTCATATTTTCACAGTAGAAGTTGTCTGTCATATTTATTAACTCATAATTTTTTCAGAGTTTTTGGAAAAGGGTGTTATAATTAAAAAAATGGGGGTAGAGGGCTAAAACTGTGTCGAAATGGTTTTCCTAGGAAGCTCTTTCAATTGACGTATCACACGTTTCATTTAGTTTAGGGGCACTTCTACCATGCTTATTCGACTAGACTCTTCGTTTATTAAAGCACTGTGTGGGTTTAATATATGATTAGTTTTGTTGTTGGTAATTCATTTTACGATAGATTTTGTACGTGTCATAATGTTATCGAATGCAACTACAAGTATAAAGCTAACAAGGTAACAAGATCTGTTTTTGTGATGGATTGCTAGAGTCTCTCTTTCAATGAAATGTTGAAAATTAGATTATGTCTGCAAAGGCCACGTGCAATGATTTGAGAAGTAGTAATAATTCTGATTTGTGCAAAAATATTTATTAATAATTAAAAGATGATACTATGGTTTACTTTATTAGTTTAAATATATGTATGTATATCTACATGCGAGTATGTAGTTATTTACATAGGTTATATGAGAATATAATGGACTTTTACTCTTATTTTAAATATACGAAGGAGTTATAGACTGTTATCGCTTGCTTTGTTTTCTCATGAACTTTTGTATACCTACTCTCCCCTTAGGAGTACCCATATTCACTTATGCACCCTACGGTGCCCTGTCTCGTCCCTGTCACGTCCAACTCATGCATACTCATTAGTCACCCTTAATCACGCTAGAAAGTTAGCGTTTCTTGAAACCTTCCTGTTAGGACTATGACACTAGATATAATTACCACTACCAAGAAATATTGGATGATAAAGATTACTATGCTTGCTTTTGTAAAAATTTGTCCTTCCTTATTGATGGGAGCTCTTAGTTTGTGATTTCTAAAATGTATTACTTATATGCAATTCTTTTTCTATTTTGCAAAATAATGAAATTTTGTGATTTTTTAATCGATTTACAATTATAATCACAAATACTTCAAATGATGGTAATTCTATATTTGTGAGGTGGGTGAGGTAATACCGTTTTCTTTACATTACCTCTGTCGTGTACTCGCGTCGGTTTGAGTTATGCTTCAAACTTGGATCACGAGAGAAAAATCGGACTGTTTTTTAACGAGGTCTGAAGCGATCCCGGAATACCCTTTCTAACGTTATAATATAAACGACTTGGTTATGCGTT